AGAAAAGGAGAAAGAGAGACAGACAGACAGACAGACAGACAGACAGACAGAGATCGAGTTCAAAAATTCAATTTCAAATTCAAAAAAGTTTATTCCAGTAAAAATTGTTATTACATCGGGGATTATACAGAAATTCGGGGAGTCATATATATTTACATAAAATCATATGGATGCTACTATATTGCAAAACCTCACACATCATGAAATTCACAAAAATGTCTTTAATTCGTTACAAAAAAATACCACATTGATTTCTGAGTATATAAAAACGTGTTTGAAAATTAATTAGTAGCGGCAAGATCAGTGTTGCCGCCATAGTAACAATATGAGAGAGAGAGAGAGAGAGAGAGAGAGAGAGAGAGAGAGAGAGAGAGAGAGAGAGAGAGAGAGAGAGAGAGAGGAAAAAAACAAAAACAAACCCGAAGCAGAAACAGAAATGGAGGAAACAAAAAACAAAGAGAGAGAGAGAGAGAGAGAGAGAGAGAGAGAGAGAGAGAGAGAGAGAGAGAGAGAGAGAGAGAGAGAGAGAGAGGAAAAAATACAAAAACAAACCCGAAGCAGAAACAGAAATGGAGGAAACAAAAAACAAAGAGAGACAGAGAAAGAGGAGGAGGAGGAGGAGGAGGAGGAGGAGGAGGAGGAGGGGGAGGGGGGGGGAAGAAAGAGAGAGAGAGAGGGAAATAAAGAAAGAGAAAGTAAAAAAACAAACAAACAAACAAACCCGAAGCAGAAACAGAAAGAGAAATGGAGAAAACAAAAAACAAAAAGAGAGAGAGAGAGAGACAGAGAGGGCAAGGGCGGTCGCATCAGGTGTCAGAGCGAAGTGAAGTCAAAAGCAGAATTTTCTTTTTCTTTGGTCGAGAGAGAGAACGCTGCGTCTTTCATGATTTTTTTTTCTTTTTTTTCCTTTTTTTTCCTTTTTTTCTTTCTTTTTCCTTTTTTTTTCTTTTTTTTCCATTTTTTAAATTATTATTATTATTATGGGGATAAGGTAGGGGGTTGGGGTGGGGGCGAGGAGATGGGTGGGGGGGGTTGAAGGTGGGTTAGATGCGCCCACGTCTTGGGTTACGCCGGTGGGCTGTCGGTGGGTCAGCAGCGCCCACGTCCGCCGGTGGGTTAGCTTTCGTGTGGTGGCCGTGTGGTGGGGGGGGGGGGGGGTTGCTGCTTCGTGATTTTAACTCTTTCTGTTTAATTGTTATTATTTTATATATATATATATATGTATGTATGTATGTATGTATATTATGCTTTTTTCTGTGTCTGTCTGTTACTTCTGTCCTTGTGTTATCGGTCTTTACGTGTGTCTCATTTTCTCTCTCTGTCTCCCTACTTCACATTTTTTTTTTTTTTTTCCTTTTTATCCGTCTACTCTTCTTTTCCCTTTCTTTCTATCTCTCTTCTATTCCCTGTCTTTATCACTCTGCTCCATTCCCTTGCTATCTATCTTTTCCTTTCTGTCCTTTTTTTCCCTCCCTTTCTCCTACATTTATCTTTCCTTTGCTCTCCCCCCCTCTCTCTCTCGTTCTGTTCTCTTCCTCCCTTTCTTTTTGTCCACCTTTTCTTCTCTATTTCTTTCTCTCCTTGTCTTGCTCCTCTCCTTCCCTCCTCCCTCTTCCCTACACACTCCTCTCTCTCTTTCTCTTCTCTCCTTTATCTCCTCTTTTTTTTCTTCATCTCTTTCCTTCTCTCCTTTATTTCCTCTTTCTTTCTTCATCTCTTTCCTTCTCTTTCTCCTCTCTTTTTCTCTTTCTCTCTCTCCTCTCTTTCTTCATCTAATAACCCTACATATTACTCCCATTCCTAACCCCCCCCCTCCTTCCCCAAAACTACCCCAAAACTCCCCTTATTTTCCCCATCACCCACTCCCCCAACACCTCCCTTACCCCCCCTCCCCCGTCACCCCTTCCCCTATCCACCCACTCCCCCCACAACTCCCCCCCCCATCACCCACTCCCCCCAACTCTCCTTCCCCCATCACCCACACCCCCCAACTCCCCCCCCAACTCCCTTACTCCCCCCAACTCCCTCACCCCCACAATCCCCCCCTAACTCCCTCACTCCCCCTCCCCCCCGTCACCCCTTCCCCTGTCCTCCCACTCCCCTACTACTCCCCCCCCCATTACTCACTCCCCCCACAACTCCCCCCCCCCCCCCCACACACAACTCCCCCTCCCTGTTTGTCAAGGGCCGAGTGCGGCTTCATGCATTTTGTAGTGGGTTCGCAAAAGAAGATTAGCGCCGGGCTTTGTAATGGGGGGGGAGGGAGAGGGGGAAGGGAAGGGGGGGAGGAAGGAGGGGGGCGTTGGTGGTGGGTGTGAAGGGGGGGGGTTGTGGTGGTGGGTGTGGAGGGGGGGGGGAGGGGCTTACTTGCTTGCTTTGGGCGTTTCATTTTCTTTTTCTTTTTTTTGTATTTATTTCCATTAGCTTATTTTCTACCTTTATTTTCTTTTCGTTTCTCTTCACTTGTTTTTTTTTCTCTTCTCTTTGTCTCTTTGTCTCTCCTCTCCTTTTCGCTACCTATTTTTCTTTCTCTTTTTCATTCTCTTTTTTTCTCTCTCTCTCTCTCTCCCTCTCTCTCTCTCTCTCTCTCTCTCTCTCTCTCTCTCTCTCTCTCTCTCTCTCTCTCTCTCTCTCTCTCTCTCTCTTACCTCTCCATTCTCTATCTCTCTTTCTCTTTTTTCTTTCTCTTTCTCTTTTATCTTCCCTCCCTTTGAGTAGCCTGCATCAAATCCTTATTTTATATTCTGTCTATCCCCAGTCACCCTCACAATTTTCGAAAACACAGCCGTCATTAAGAAAATACACACACATAACACTGTACAATACCTTTTTTTTGGGTGGGAGAGAGGGATAGGAGAGAGGGGGGAAGGGAAGGAGATGAGAGAGAGAGAGAAAGGGTGCAAAGGGGAGAGAGAGAGAGAGAGAGAGAGAGAGAGAGAGAGAGAGAGAGAGAGAGAGAGAGAGAGAGAGAGAGAGAGAGAGAGAGGTGGGGGAAGAGAGAGAGAGAGGGGAGAGAAGAAAGATAGAGAGATGGAGAGAGAGAGAAGAGAGAGAGAGAGAGTATAATGACAATCTTTATTTCCAATTTACATTGGTTATTCATTACATTACTTTACAATAAGATTTTAGCGTGCTTAAATTACTGAAGATATTATTCTGATATTATACTTTATATTTCTATGATTCAATAAATTGAATTTCGTATTAGGACACATAATCATATAAAGTTATATTAATAACTTTAAAAAATGTAATGTTGTCAACATCAAATCAACATGAATCATCACCTGAAGAGGAGGGAGAGAGAGAGAGAGAGAGAGAGAGAGAGAGAGAGAGAGAGAGAGAGAGAGAGAGAGAGAGAGAGAGAGAGAGAGAGAGAGAGAGAGAGATTTCATATTATTTGATAAAAAAAATTATAGAACAGTACATATCCTGCAAAATGCAAAGGAAAGATGCTACTGCATCTATCCAATCTGGCTTGTGCTTCTATTTTTGTAGAGAGCTGTCAATCAAACATTGGTTATACATGTCTGAAAGGCTGTGTCCTTGTACTTACATTATTCACATATCATCTAATTGGTAAAAAAAAATAATAATAAATAAAAAAAAACTTATATCACTAATCATACCAAAGACAAGGCCAGTGTCTACAATAAAATTAATATGATCAATAAGTGCTGAATTAATTCATGGAGGACTGCAGTAGGAGAGGTTCTGTCTAATGCTCCTAAATCCATTTACTGGGCTAAACACATTGGTGTTACTTTCCCTTTTTGGAAACCAAAGACTGATGGATGAATTTGATCTTTGATCTGGTGGAGCAGACGAGTGTGAGGAGTCCTTTCACAGGTTTTAGAGAGACGGGATGCCATGAGGGCCTCTTGGTTTTTGGGAATAGTGGTAGCTTGTTTCCAGGCAGTGGGCAAGATGCTAGTAGTGTATGTTAAGTTGAAGAGATCAAGAAGAGGATTTCTTCCCTTTACCTGTACCTTTGCAAGGAGTCAGATGATGATATAAGTGATGCCATCCTCTCGAGCTGCAGTGGATTTGCTAGTCATAGTCGCTGCAAGTTTACGACTTGTCAGTGGTGCATCAGCCTCATCTAAAAGTTGGCACTGATTGGCAATTTCTATTTTCTAACTTAGGGGAACACCTACGTAGGGATAATGGAAGATTATCGAGAGAGGAATTTTCGCAGCATTTACTGAGGAGTGACAAAGCTACCCTTTCTGGACGGAGGGGGGGAGGGAGTCGCATTGTATGCATTGCCTTTAATCTTGTTAATTTCCCTCCTCACATTGCGGAGTCGTGGAGTCAATCGATTCTGCCCAGGCTTACAATCTCTCTTCCTGCTTTTGAGTTATTACCTCGTTAAGCGCCTTACTAAAGAATACAAGTTTCCTAGCTAAGTGGGGGTTTCTTCCCAAGTGCTTTAGCTGATTTACTGTAGACTTTATGAGCTTTCTGAGTAGCTTTATTTCGGGATCTTTGTTCAGGTGATATGCTCGTTTGCTTCTAGAGGATAGAGACCGAAAGGGAGATAGAGAAAGAGAAAGAAAAAGAAAAAGAAAAAGAAAGAAAGGAATATATATATATATAGAGAGAGAGTGTTTTTCTTTGTTTGTGTGCATTTTGTGCATTCATGTTTTTATTTGTTTGTCTGTCTGTATGTGTGTGCGTTTGTTCTAATCCATTTCCTTTCCTCTAACAAATGCAGCTTCAATTTTATAATTAATGTTAATTAATGTAATATTTTCTATGTTTTACCATTCCACAAAGTCTACAAATTGTACAGATGTTTTTTGTTTTTGATCATTTGATCAAGTAAAAAGATATATAATTTTACGTGTTTTAATAATGTTTTCACTATACAGTTCTTTTTTAAATATTTGCTTTTGTACAAATGATTTTTTCTTCGTTAAAAAAAAGAAAATCAAAAGGTCTTTTCAACTTGTCTTTCCGCCCAAAACCGCCCCTGAGCGCCCTTTCTCCTCCCACAGGACCCGCTCTCGGCATCACCATCACGCGCGTGAGCGTCCCGACGCCCCTGGCCGTGGGCGAGGGCGGCGTGCTGGAGTGCGAGTGGACGTACGACGGCGACCACGTGTACACCCTCAAGTGGTACCAGGGCCTCAGCGAATTCTACCGCTGGACGCCGCAGGAGACGCCCCCCGCCAAGGCCTTCCCGATGGACGCGCGGCTGAGCGTGGACCTGCGCGAGTCCGAGGGCGGCCGCGTCAGGATCCGCAACGTGACGCTGGCGGCGAGCGGACCCTACCGCTGCGAGGTCTCCGGCGAGGCGCCCACCTTCCAGACCGCCCTCCGCTCCGCCGTCATCACCGTCGTCGGTGGGTGAGAGGAGAGGGAGGGAGAGGGAGGGAGGGGAGGAGGGAGAGGGAGGGAGGGGAGGAGGGAGAGGGATAAGGGGGGGGAGAGGGAGGGGAAGAGGGAGAGGAGGAGGAGGGAGAGGGAGAGGAAGAGGAAGAGGGAGAGGGAAGGAGAGGGAGGGAGAGGGAGAGGGAGAGGGAGAGGAAGTCAGGAGGAGTCCAGGACACAGCACTCGCATGCAAAAGAAAAGTTCAGTTGATGTTAATGCGTGAGAGGATTAGATTTGAGATATACTTCATTATTCCTTCACTTATATATTTACATAGCTAATTATCTTCAGCAATTCATATATTCCGGGGGGGGGGGGGTATATGAACACCAGTACGCTACTTGCCTGTTTATTTTAGTCTTTGCACCTAATTTACATGTTCATCACTCTCGCACCAGTCACTAAAGCTTCAAATAAATGAGTGGTGAGCTCCAGGTAAACTACATAGTACTAACCGTGACCTTACATTACGGGGAAAAAAGCAACAGGTACCGAGCGGTCAGGAGGCGAGACCAGATCTGCCCAAAGTCCCAAAGAACCCGGGGGTATCTGCGCCCTCTAGCCAGGGTATTGGTTACTGTCTCGATCATACATACGCCCGCGAGTGACTGCAGTGTCACGGTTTATGGCGTCACTAATTTCGACATGGCAAACCACTAGCACTATGTCACTAGCAGACGCCATCCAGTTATGTTGCTAAAACTGGTCATAATTACAAATTTATTATATGTGACACTATCCTCCCGGTGAGATAGTGTCCTCGCACCTATTACTGGGCATGAGAATGACAATAAGTGTCTTATCATGTACGTAGCTAAGCCCACGTACGTGTCCGTCCAATAGTTACGGGCTGCACCCCGCATTTCCACCACGAGGGACAAGGATCATTCACGTAGATAAAAATACACGTAGCTTAAAAGGATAATAAAGCTCACAGTTCTTGGTGCCCATTTTCCATTGGGTTCATTGATTCGTATTCTTGCCATGGACTCATCATATCAAAAAAAAGGGGGGGGGCGTGGCAGGATAAGAAGTGGGTGAATAGGCCTACGATACTCCCTTCTTCTTCATCCACTCAATTTGCATACAGAATCGTAACACACCCCGCCCCCATCCCCACACACACAAAAAAAATATATATAAAACAGAAAAAAATAAAAAGTTGGTGAATTCATATAGTTCAACTTTTGTGATACATTCGACAAAGTATTTTTGGCAGGTCGGAAACGAGGCCTTTTTATTTATTTATTTATATACTCGTCATTGCTGCTGTTGTTATGGGGTGTTGTTGTTGTTGTTGTATCGGTATTTTTATTATTGTAGGTCAAGAGGTCGATTGAATTGCATTTTTTATTAGATTATTTTCATATTGCATATTTCTTATTATTTTATTTACTTATTTTTATTTGATTATCTTTTTGTTTTGTTTTGTCTTTGTTTTTTGTTTTATTGTAGCAGTGAGGGTGATGATGTAATTCTTTGTTTAATTTTTGTATTGTATTTTGTGTTTTTTATCCGATAGATAGGTAGATAGACAGATACATACGATAGAATTTATACATGCACATACCTATACACATATACTGTACATACACATTGTACATGGATGAATTGAAAGGCAGTTTGTTTCTTTACGTAGATAACTATATAAGAATACCCGTAAGCAAGGAATCGGAAAGATAAAAATCAAATCAAAATACGATATTCTGTTTCTGGCAACTCGCGGAAGCCATGGCAGTTCAGAGCCTCTATAATGAGAGTTAATTAAGTTGTGGAAGTTCAGATAATGTCAATCGAAAGCTTATAAAGTTTCAAATAAAATTGTTATTTGATTTCGCTGACCTTTGAACTCTGGGATGAATAAGAAAGGAAAAAAAAGAGGAATTGGTTCGGAATTGTTTTGATACTGTGTTGGCATCACGGATGTTGCCACTTGTTGGGTCTCACTTTATTTATGTATGTGTGTGTGAGAGAGAGAGAGAGAGAGAGAGAGAGAGA